TTGATGTTCTCCACAACTTAACGTGGTATATTCATTACCAGAGTTACAGAGACGACAGACAGGGGTCAAACCAATCCCTGTTACCTAAAATGGAATTTCCATCATGGGTACTGTTCAATATATGTGTAAAGTTATGGTGGTAGAACCGTAACTTTAGTCATTTTAGACTTATAAATATGCTATGTACAATATAATCCATATGGCTCATATTGAGTTGTTTTCAATTGACAGATGTGTGCAGTTGAAAAACAAAATAAATGCGTGACTTAGCATGTGAAAATATTGCCTATATTTAGTTTTTATTAACATAAAAATGTGTGCAGTAAAGATTTGTGTAAATATGATATGGAATCGGAGATAGATACTGCATATCTGGGTATGTTGATGGGATGTGTGTGATTGACGTTTGTACAAAGATAGTTATCTACCATTACTAGAATATATATCCCGATTTACCCAGTGTTGTATATACCATTAACACAGTATAGTGTGTACATGTGATAACGTTATTTTGGAATGTTGATGTGTCATAAACTACACTGGTGTTTCCCAGCTCTGTTAACTAAATGATACAGTAGTCATACTGACTAATCTATATTGTTGATAATGTTTAAATACACAAAAGATGTTTTTGTTTTAATTTTGTTTATTTTGTTAACTACAAGGCAGTTTGTCGATAATTTGATATTGTTACTATGGATATGTTAGTGAACAACTGGTTTTTACATTACATGATTACAACAACCCAAGATAATTTCCAAAGGTGCATGCATTTCTGTTTCATATATATACTGTTGATCAAAAATGTTTAACAACTCTGTGCTATTTTCTTTTCTTGTCTTGTTTGATATATACTCTCATGAACTCATTAACCTTTTCCAAATGTAAACATTTTATGAAATAAATATTCACATTTACATTTATTTATATGTTTGTTTTATTTAAATGAATATCCTTTAACATTTTCTAAGCATAATATATGACGACCAACTGGGATAATAATTATGTGATGACTAACTAGGATATTAATTATGTGAAGACTGACGGATAATAATTATGTGATGACTGACTGGAACATTAATTATGTAATGACTGACTGTGACACTAATTATGTAATGACTGACTGATACTAATTACGTGATGACTGACTGTGATACTAATTATATGATGACTGACTGTGATACTAATTATGTAATGACTGACTGTAATACTAATTATGTGATGACTGACTGATACTAATTATGTGATGATTGACTGTGATACTAATTATGTGATGACTGACTGGGATACTAATTATGTGATGATTGACTGGGATACTAATTATGTGATGACTGACTGATACTAATTATGTGATGATTGACTGTGATACTAATTATGTGATGATTGACTGGGATACTAATTATGTGATGACTGACTGATACTAATTATGTGATGACTGACTGACTGTGTAATGACTGACTGTGATACTAATTATGTGATGACTGACTGATACTAATTATGTGATGATTGACTGTGATACTAATTATGTGATGACTGACTGGGATACTAATTATGTGATGATTGACTGGGATACTAATTATGTGATGACTGACTGTGGTACTCTTTATTTGATGACTGATGGACACTAATTATGTGATGACTGACTGGGACACTAATTATGTGATGACTGACTAGGATGTTAATTTTGTGATGACTGACTGGGATATTAATTATGTGATTACTGAATGTGATACAAATTATGTTATCAATTGTGTTATACGGTTGCTATTGATAAGTGAGACAGAGAGAGACATCATGTAATAACTAGGTTTAATTCAAATGATCCTTACATTTCCAGGACACCGACCTTTTTATTAAAACATCAACAGAACTGAGGAAGGCAGAATACGTTGGTTATAAATAACACGCTGATGTATGTTTGTTAAATTATTTGCACATATAAAGATGTTTTGTTTTAGTATTTTTATATCGATCCTGAATTTTTTAAATAACAATAGCGCACAGTTCAGATAATGATCATTAACCAACATACGAACAAATTATGTGTATCTATATAATCAAAACACGCTCGGGCGCATTTTCTTTGTACATGTGACTATTATGACGATTCAGTGAAATTCGGGTGTTCTGAAAAGTTCTTCTATACAGATAACAGTGCACTCCGCTGTGACCAGACGGGTGCGCCGTCTACCTTGATGTCACGTGTCATTAAGTTATCTAATTTACATACAAGCGTAAATAGATATAGAACTACAGCGCGCAGCTCAGTCATTTCACTGAAGTGACATTGATCAGTAGAAACCTGTGTTAGCGACCATTACTGATGCTGTCTAATTGGGATGTTTATGTATTTTGATTCTTATTTGAAGGGCAAAAGTCGACGTAAATTGGAATGCTGATTCGGTCATGTAAGTACAAATATGCTGTAGTGAGTAAGAAACTTACACGGAATGTTTAATTAACACGTGGATAGATGATTTGATTGAAAATGAAATTAATACGAAACTCCGTTATGATGCCGTGCTTTGTGGTGCGTTTACTGTGAAATGCATAACTGATAATCGATTGCATCAGACCTGCCTTGATTAAAACGTCAAGGATAGTGAAATACCCTTTGGGCTTGTGTAGGGGAACTCCCTAGTTGTATCGTATGACATTTTAGAAAAGATTTGGACCTTTAAACAGAAAATAATTAGTTCATATGCATCGTAACATCAACAATGGCATAATCTGCCATTACATACAATATACAAACAAAACGAAAACTCTTTAAATTGCGGATTTTCTTAAATCAATTGGCGTACCACAATAAAGGTCAAAGGTCGTGTATAAAATGACCGTCAATATCAAGATTTTTTGTTGTGAGTCGCCAGAGAATCGACACTGAACGTCGATTGGACTATGCCCGGCGATTGGCAGAGTCACGGAGACGAAAAACCATCATCATTATCATCATCATCATCATCATCATCATCATCAGACTTTTTGTTACAGACCTTGTAACTGAAATGGCAACCACTAACCGCGGTATTTATGGGAATCATTTCCTTAAAATAATTTCGATATTGATGCTGACATGCCACATATTTCACATCAGAATAAAGAAAGACAATGCATTGATTACGTACCGGGTATTTTAATTTGATACATCCATGGTATATGTATCGTTTAAACAAGAACGTGTAATTTTATTTCTGGTCAACTCGAATTCAACATACTATGTGACCATACAAATAATATTTGTTTTCTAGTACAGGACAAAGTGTTATAGAAATAAGATATTTTTTTAATGTTTGATGGATGCGTTTGTGTACTCGTGTTATATAATCACCACAATATGTACTAGTGCATTAATGTTTACAACTGCTTTACAATCATAATAAACCTGTATCATCTGTTGAGTGTCATGAAGTACAAAGTCACGATACAACAATACAGTATGCTATATATATTTGTCGTTCGTTCCAGAACGCTGGTTAGTGTAGGATTACCTATACCCGCATATATACTGAAGTTTGGATACAATTTTAAAACGAGTACTCACCAGGCTAGATAAATCGCATGTTAATACTCCCATGGTAGGTGGAGGTACTGTGCAGGAGGGTCTTAACACTATCTTTATGGTTTCAGTTACGATACTGACTGCATGGATGTATTAAGGAGACATGCTTAATATGTCAGATATATATGAAAAAACTTTTTAATTATATTTCACTTTACTTCATATAGTATCCTTAATTATGTTTCACTTTATTTTATATAGTATCCTTAATTATGTTTCACTTTCTTTCATGTAGTATCCTTAAGTGAACGCTTTAACTGTGAATTGTTCACTATGTTTATGATCACCTTTTGTTGTGAGCGTAAACTTATATAACAGGTATATCAGGCTAAGTAAGTAGGCTTACCCGGATACAGAATGGCCTTTTTATTGACAGGGTCACTATGTTCTAGTAATTGAGTAGAATGTCTGGTGACGTTAGATTTGCGGGATATAATGTAAAAAGGAACATTGAAAACATTATTAACAGAACTGCAGTTGCATGTTTTGGCATTACCATGACACATAAAGATCAATTGTATAACACAACGTTAAATAAATTCATTACGTTACACTACATGCTGCTCCAAACGGAGTCATATTGTATGCACATCGGACAGACACGGCTCAGATTATATACAAATGTTTAATGGTCTAAAATTATCAGATATACGAAATTTACTTTTACTGAATTACAGAGTGCACATTCCCCTCTAGATTCTGACTTTTCTTTCGACCTCTTGATTTTTCTCAGCCACTCCTTTGGCTTAGAATATAGACCTTTAGCATCACTTATGAGTCCTAGAAGGACGACACAGGTGCACGGTGTAGTTTGATTTATTGCTTGGCTCTACAGTATGTTATCTTTTGTAGAAAACAATGCTATTCATTTGTATGTCTTTAGTAGAATCTTTGATAATATTTTCATATTGTCCAAAATGTAATATGTTTCTGGTCTAAAGTTGCTGGACATTGTAAAGCCTTATACACAAAGCTTCATATTCATCATGGAAATAAAAGTCCATGGTAGTTAATATAGAAAGAACTGTTGTATACCCGTCCATAATAAACAGCGTTAGAGTGTTGATGAAACATAATAGCACGCTTGACAATTCTTATACTTCACACATGTTAGACGTACCATATCAAAAGCTGACAACTTTAGCCATTACACAGGGTTTGAAGGGACTGATCACGACTTGGAAAAGTGAAATAGTCGTTATGATATTGTGAGATATAAATTTAGACGTGTTTCATGCTCGTTTTAGGCTGGCATTTCCTTTGTTGTTTACGTTGTTCCTATTTGAGAACATGACATTACTTGGATTGATCGATGACATCTGGTCTTAATTTCCATGTAATCATTCAGGAGTCTGTCTCTCTGAAAATCTTTTTTGCCTTATATTGTGCGCTCATTCCATTGTTTCTGACTATTCCAGATATAAATAATGTAGTCTGGATGACTACAATATTGTTGGTCTTCGGGAACAGATGTCTAGGCCGCGCAATCAAAAACGGGAAGGAAGATGTGTATTGTTCCTATGAGAATCACCAATACTACAAAGAACAGATCCATGGGTGCATGTATTGTGATCGATGTTGGTCAGGAGATGAACCAGTCCTACAGGTAACAGTTTGTTAATCAAGTTACTGGTTATCTTATCTACTTAGTAATGGTGTTAGTAACATGTTGTCTAACCCTCTTCTACCAAATACTCCACTAACTTGTTGCCCTAAACATATGTCTCCTTATATATTCCCCATGGTATGACACGGATACAATGTAACCTTCCATAGTCAATTGTGTATTACCAGCTCATGAACTATCAACAGTTCAGGAATATAACAAATAAAGTAAGCAAATTAAGGTTGTATCCTGTTACGATCAATACTTAATCCCCTAATGCAAAACACTAACAGAATTAAAAATTGTATAACATCATGTCAGGTGACTACAAACACCACAAATTATATATACATCATTTTTATCTCATTACACACAATATTGAAACTTAAGAAAATATCTTGAAGAACAAGCAATGTACACACCTCACATCCCACCACCATAACTATCAGTATAAATGGCAATCATAACCAGTAAGATGATCAACATGAGAGAATGGAAACAAAATTACCTCATTTATTTTTTAAATTCAGTTTTTTAATACTTTTTAACTCATCCTAAACGAATGTATACTAGAGTTGACATATCAGTTTCATTATTTCTTTGACTCCTACAGGGAGCAGACTACGGTATAGGTCTACATGGAGCCACCAAATGTCCCAGATGTCAGAGCTGTTCCGAGGGTACTTACAACCCTGACGGAGATCGACACTGGGAATGTCTTCCGTGTACGGTGTGCTCCGATTCAGGCATGTACGAAGCACAAGCCTGTACGACAACACAAGATACAATATGTACAAGTGTTGTCACTGAAAGGTAAGAAATAACTTTTTTGTGGGAAATTATGATAAGCCTACATTATCATTTTATCTGTCACTTAGTCCCAAACTTTATTGTTAATTATGTTTACTATGAGTTATGACTGAGAGCCAGTGGTCATACCCGAATTTTACCTTGTATCATAACTTACAGCAATATGGCTTATTGAATATGGTATGCAGTCAATTTACATGGTAGCAGAGAACCATAATTTTGGGGAAATTGAAGAACTGAGCTTTGCTAGCTCTTCACATTTCTGTGTTTTTGTGTATTTTTGTGTATTTACTCCTTAACCTGGTTTCCATATATCTAATATGTGAGAATGTTTTATTTTTTACAGAGCCTTAGATATGATTAATATGGTATCTCCGTCTCCGAATCCTCAGGAAATGTTTCAAGCACAGAAAGATGAAGGTAAGTGAGTCAGTGCACTATTACAGTAGTAACAGTGTAAGTGATTCATTTTGTCATTGGCTTGTCCATGTTAACATGAGGAGGAGGAGGATTTCAACTGGTTATATACATTGTATGTTCATTATTGTGGATTCTATCAAATTAAATATGAAATTATGCAGAGAGAAATCAAATGGCTGAATATCATTTTTACATTCTCAACTTTTAAAGCAAACTTTGACATTCACTACCATTACATTGAAGAAATAGATAACAAATTTACCATTAATACAGTATGCAATTACTTTTATAATTTGATAATTAAACTAAAATGTTAAAGGCTTCTTTTTGTTTTGGTAAGGTCAACTTTGTGAAACTTTGTTCAATCACTAAAATGGTTTTAAACAATACGGTTGAGTAAAAATCTCACATTTAACATCACATTGATTTCTTCTGTAGGTAAAGATCTGCACAACGAGAATGGGACCAACATTTTGTATGCTTCATTGTTGATTGTGGTTATAGTTGTGGTGATGGGCATTATTATCATGTATATTCAGAGAAGAAGACAACTTCGGAATTCATACGGTAAGATTATCACATAACTAATAGTTTCATCTTTATATCAGATGCTTGTGCATTGAAAATATCTTTAATAGTTGTTATTGATTAAACAGTAGATTTCGTGTATTTCTTGGAGTTGAACGCTCTTTTCCACTAATGCATACAATGTCCGATTAAGAATGATTGAACATGACTCGAAAGCTCTGAATATAGCAATGTTTGATATGATTAGCAAGAACACAATAAAACTGTCGTTTTTTCTATTATTTATGAAATGTAGCGATTCAGAATGATGGGGGAAACCGTACATTAAGGACAATCACAGTTGAACAAAATTATCCTGAGCAACACCAAACTGACTCGGATAGTGAGGAGAGTAGACTATTAGGGACAGTTGCAGTTGAACAAGAGCAGCAACAGGTGGACTCTTCTTCTGACTCGGACAAAGAGGGAGTTTCAGATGACACAGAAGACTACGTGGGTAGTTTGCAAGATATAGATAACAATGAGAGGGCACCACTGGTTCCAAGGCGACAACGAATGAAATCTTGTGGGGACTATCAAAGTATCAGTTCTCAATATGACAATAAAGCTGGGAGAGATGGAGGAGCAGTATCTAGGCGAATGACTCAAAGATTACAACGACAAGTGTCTCATCCGGTTACGGTCACAGAGGTTGGATTAACAGAGCGACAGCTGGACAACAGTGAGTTTTTTTTGCTATAAATATATTAATGGGTTTTAAAAATCACATGTGATACTTTTATTTCTAATTTTGTTGTTTGTTGTTGTTGGCTTTTATAATTGCATTATTTTATATTCAGATAATTATAGCTGCTCTGCACATTATCTCATTTCAGAACGTCCAAAACTAAAATGTGTACAGTTTCTAGCAAAGCTCCTTGCACCAAACGAAAACTATAAGAAGTTTGCTAAGAAAATGGGTCTTGAGATCCACAATATAAAACTTTTAGAAGAGGATCAAGAACAGGTTCCGCGTAATGCTGAAGATGTATCATATGAATTTATATCTAAATGCCTTCAGTGTCAGCCAAAGCTCAGCTATCATGACATCTACAGCGCCCTGACAAGCCTTGAGCTACACGAGGAACTTGAGATTCTCAAGGAGAAGCGACGAAGGGATCGGGTATAGTTCAATATTTCACCTATATCAGTTCATGCTAGTAATTGTGTTACAAGAGATCATTTACCATGGTGACTACATAAGTCTTGAACTTTATACAGGTAGATTTAGTTATTCTTTACTGCTGAAATGTTTTGGTAATTGGTTTTTTTCTGGTATCAAATATATGCAGCTTAGTCACTCTCAGTTTTTATCCATGGTTCAATTAGCATTGGTTACCCTGGGTCAATCAGCCTTGGTTCACTCTTGACCAATTAGCATTGGTTACCCTGAGTCAATCAGCCTTGGTTCACCCTTGACCTATTAGCCTTGGTTGCCCTAGGTAAATCAATGAATAGATGTAAATTGGACCTGCTAGATAGACATAAATGATGTTTTGATTTATAAGCGTGGTGTTTGTACTTATATAACCCTCAGAACCCTTTTTATATCATATTTGATAACACGTTTTTGTTTTTATGATTATGATATGTACTTGATCAAATATTTTTTGGAAACAGAAATGCATGCACAAAGGGGTTACTAGGCTGAAATGTGATTTATGATGGGCTGTTTCTTGTAAACATGAATAACATATGTTGTAATATTACTAAAAAATACGTGACAATTCCAGTAAGCTATTTGAGAGTTTCAAATATTTTGAAACTAGATTAAGATGGATGTGTTTATCATTATTTGCATGGAAGAATTTTAAACCGAGTTGTATCCTTTCTATGTTGACCTCATAAGATGAGTCGCCATTTCATCCTACCACATCAGACACGACTTTGGTATTTTCGCTGAAAACCAAAGTTGAAGTTTTGACATAAGGTGAGGTAATCGTAAAAATAGGTGAATTTTAGTAACAACAGTTCCTCAAATATTTGGGTAAGATGGAAATGTATTTCATGCACGAAGTGGAAATGCATTTGAAATCTGGATATTACTTTTTAAGTACCTTACAACATCACTTACAATTAAAATATGCAATACGGAGTTATATCTGCGTTTTATGTCTAAATTCTGTTTTCTATTTCTCATTTTTTCGTTGAAAACAAATGTTTAAGTCATAACGGACACATATTGCCAATGCTACGAGGAAATGAGTTTGTTTGCTATCGCATATTTAATGGTGTTTAAATACCCTTTGTTACCAGTGTTATTTTTTCATGTACAACATACATACATGTGTGTGCCGCTGAGTATGGGTAGGCCACAATTTAAGATGTAAAAGTACACCTGAAAACACCAATATTTCATTTTTCCAATGGTGTTAAACAGTGAAAAATGTTTGGTTAAAAGGCTATGCAAGAGACGTTGAAAAACATTTGTTACCAATGAATGTTTTTTATTGAGCACTAATCACATATATATCTGTTTGTCCGGGTGAGTTGAACTAAGCCACAATTTAGGACGTAGAAGTACGCCCGACAGTCGATATCTCATTTTTTGCAGTCGTGTTAAACAGTAGAAAATGTTTGGTTAAAATGCTATGCAAGAGACGTTGAAAAACGTTTATAACCAATGAAGGTTTTTTTCCTTAGCACAAGTCACACATATATCTGTGTGCGGTTGAGTTGAACTAAGCCACAATTTAGGACGTAGAAGTACGCCCGACAGTCGATATCTCATTTTTTGCAGTCGTGTTAAACAGTAGAAAATGTTTGGTTAAAATGCTATGCAAGAGACGTTGAAAAACGTTTATAACCAATGAAGGTTTTTTTCCTTAGCACAAGTCACACATATATCTGTGTGCGGTTGAGTTGAACTAAGCCACAATTTAGGACGTAGAAGTACGCCCGACAGTCGATATCTCATTTTTTGCAGTCGTGTTAAACAGTAGAAAATGTTTGGTTAAAATGCTATGCAAGAGACGTTGAAAAACGTTTATAACCAATGAAGGTTTTTTTCCTTAGCACAAGTCACACATATATCTGTGTGCGGTTGAGTTGAACTAAGCCACAATTTAGGACGTAGAAGTACGCCCGACAGTCGATATCTCATTTTGTGCAGTTGTGTTAAACAGTGGAAAATGTTTGGTTAAAATGCTATGCAAGAGACGTTGAAAAACGTTTATAACCAATGAAGGTTTTTTTCCTTAGCACAAGTCACACATATATCTGTGTGCGGTTGAGTTGAACTAAGCCACAATTTAGGACGTAGAAGTACGCCCGACAGTCGATATCTCATTTTGTGCAGTTGTGTTAAACAGTGGAAAATGTTTGGTTAAAATGCTATGCAAGAGACGTTGAAAAACGTTTATAACCAATGAAGGTTTTTTTCCTTAGCACAAGTCACACATATATCTGTGTGCGGTTGAGTTGAACTAAGCCACAATTTAGGACGTAGAAGTACGTCCGACAACCGATATCTCATTTTGTGCAGTTGTGTTAAACAGTAGAAAATGTTTGGTTAAAATGCTATACAAGAGACGTTGAAAAACGTTTATAACCAATGAAGGTTTTTTTCCTTAGCACAAGTCACACATATATCTGTGTGCGGTTGAGTTGAACTAAGCCACAATTTAGGACGTAGAAGTACGTCCGACAACCGATATCTCATTTTGTGCAGTTGTGTTAAACAGTAGAAAATGTTTGGTTAAAATGCTATACAAGAGACGTTGAAAAACGTTTATAACCAATGAAGGTTTTTTTTTCTAAAGACAAGTTACTGATACCATTAGAGTTATGGGTAAGCCATGATCAAGGACGTATTTCAAGACCAGTATTGTTTCTTTTTTCAATATGTGGTTTATTAATGACGTGGTAATACGTTCGAAAACTTATATCACTCATGTTGAGTACTACTTTGCAAAATAAATATATGTTCAGTTCTTATGGTAGTGTCGATGTTGTGGGAGTACAAACCAGGTGCTGTGAAGATAAAGTATTGTTCTGTTATGGTTGATTCGATTATAAAGACGGTAAAGCTGTTTTCTGGTGGCACGACGATTGAGTACGTTGAACATCATGCAGCGGAGCTGGACTTCGCTTATCGCATATGACCAGATAGATCAATCGGTTACAGCGTTTGGCAAGAGCTTGACGTCCTAGACTCGAATTTGGCACCCGCTTAAATATACAAAGGGCGCATATATAATGTGTTGGAATATTTGGTAGATGAAACGGAGGTATTTATTTATTTTCATTCCGTCGCAAGAACTCCAACCTGGGACCTCTGGCGTAAAGTTCCTATGCTGAGCCGATCGAGCTGAATTGATGTTCTCCACAACTTAACGTGGTATATTCATTACCAGAGTTACAGAGACGACAGACAGGGGTCAAACCAATCCCTGTTACCTAAAATGGAATTTCCATCATGGGTACTGTTCAATATATGTGTAAAGTTATGGTGGTAGAACCGTAACTTTAGTCATTTTAGACTTATAAATATGCTATGTACAATATAATCCATATGGCTCATATTGAGTTGTTTTCAATTGACAGATGTGTGCAGTTGAAAAACAAAATAAATGCGTGACTTAGCATGTGAAAATATTGCCTATATTTAGTTTTTATTAACATAAAAATGTGTGCAGTAAAGATTTGTGTAAATATGATATGGAATCGGAGATAGATACTGCATATCTGGGTATGTTGATGGGATGTGTGTGATTGACGTTTGTACAAAGATAGTTATCTACCATTACTAGAATATATATCCCGATTTACCCAGTGTTGTATATACCATTAACACAGTATAGTGTGTACATGTGATAACGTTATTTTGGAATGTTGATGTGTCATAAACTACACTGGTGTTTCCCAGCTCTGTTAACTAAATGATACAGTAGTCATACTGACTAATCTATATTGTTGATAATGTTTAAATACACAAAAGATGTTTTTGTTTTAATTTTGTTTATTTTGTTAACTACAAGGCAGTTTGTCGATAATTTGATATTGTTACTATGGATATGTTAGTGAACAACTGGTTTTTACATTACATGATTACAACAACCCAAGATAATTTCCAAAGGTGCATGCATTTCTGTTTCATATATATACTGTTGATCAAAAATGTTTAACAACTCTGTGCTATTTTCTTTTCTTGTCTTGTTTGATATATACTCTCATGAACTCATTAACCTTTTCCAAATGTAAACATTTTATGAAATAAATATTCACATTTACATTTATTTATATGTTTGTTTTATTTAAATGAATATCCTTTAACATTTTCTAAGCATAATATATGACGACCAACTGGGATAATAATTATGTGATGACTAACTAGGATATTAATTATGTGAAGACTGACGGATAATAATTATGTGATGACTGACTGGAACATTAATTATGTAATGACTGACTGTGACACTAATTATGTAATGACTGACTGATACTAATTACGTGATGACTGACTGTGATACTAATTATATGATGACTGACTGTGATACTAATTATGTAATGACTGACTGTAATACTAATTATGTGATGACTGACTGATACTAATTATGTGATGATTGACTGTGATACTAATTATGTGATGACTGACTGGGATACTAATTATGTGATGATTGACTGGGATACTAATTATGTGATGACTGACTGGGATACAAAATATGTGATGATTGACTGTGATACTAATTATGTGATGACTGACTGGGATACAAAATATGTGATGATTGACTGTGATACTAATTATGTGATGACTGACTGGGATACTGATTATGTGATGACTGACTGTGATACTAATTATGTGATGACTGACTGATACTAATTATGTGATGATTGACTGTGATACTAATTATGTGATGACTGACTGGGATACTAATTATGTGATGATTGACTGGGATACTAATTATGTGATGACTGACTGTGGTACTCTTTATTTGATGACTGATGGACACTAATTATGTGATGACTGACTGGGACACTAATTATGTGATGACTGACTAGGATGTTAATTTTGTGATGACTGACTGGGATATTAATTATGTGATTACTGAATGTGATACAAATTATGTTATCAATTGTGTTATACGGTTGCTATTGATAAGTGAGACAGAGAGAGACATCATGTAATAA